TGCATACACATAGGTATGCTTGTCCTTTTTTAAAGACTGAAATATTTCAAACTGTAGATTGTTGTACCACAATTAATTTAACAGCCTTATTGAAAGACATTTAGATCAGTAACTACTTTTTGGAGAAGTTTCCTTCAAGTGAGAAAAGCTTACTAGGATCAGTTCTATTTTGATTGTCTTAAGCATTTAATTATCCCAAATTATCATACTGACTTTACTCCTGACAGCTTGAAAATTTTTTGTGCATGATGCTATTTACATACTCTAAGGCAGGGCAGAGGATTGCAGAGCACATTTTTCCCAATTTATTCTTCTATTCCACAGTGAGATAAAGGAAGGATCTGAATGTCCCGACAGATAAGAACCAATTTAGTGTATTTCAAGAGGTCACTTTGTAGCCTCTAGAAAATGTTTCTATACTATCATTTATTTAGAAGATTGTTTCTACAGGGACCATTTTTCTTCTAATGACCCAGAGGAAAGTCATTAGTAAATTATTGAAATATTGCTTCTAAATCCTGATTAGGCAAGGAATAAGATAGGTATAAAAAGAATGATGAGTGGTTATGACCACCCTTATGGTAACTAGCAGAGAGAAGCCATGTGGTCCAGCATGGACAAACACCAAGATTATTTAAGACTAGTTCATTTTGATCTCTGTCACAAATTAGCAAAGGAACTGAATACATGTGAACACTGTCAAATCTGAAAAGTAACTAAAACAAAGTCAAGGGTTGGTGAACAAGCAGCACATATGTCAAAAAATCATGAACCAACACTTAAAACTGCAACCATCAACTTGAGGGTCAATTTGACCAAAAAAAAAAAAAAATTACACATGTATATATGTATATTCATGAGGAAATAATTTTTTAAAATTATCAGTGATAAAAAAGAAAGCTTCAAATCACTTTAGAAGGAATAGACTTCTTTTCTGAGATGTGTAAACTGAATGAAGTAAAATATAAACTAGAGAATGGGTCAAAAGGAATGTATTTGTCTCATCAGTCAGTACAGTAAGTGCTGCAGCTAGTAAAAGAAAAATATAGCCCTCTATATCTGTGGGTTCCATATCCCTGGATTCAACCAACCACAGATGGAAAATAAAAGAAAAAAAATGAGTGATTACATCTGAACCAAACATGTGTAGACTTTTTAAAAAAATTATCATTATTTCCTAAGCAATACAGCAGGGCATGGTGACTCATGCCTGTAATCCCAGTACTGTGGGAGGCCGAGGTGGGTAAATCACTTGAGATCAGGAGTTTGAGACCAGCCTAGCCAACATGGTGAAACCCTGTCTCTACTAAAAATACAAAAATTAACCAGGTGTGGTGGCACACACCTGTAATCCCAGCTACTGGGGAGTCAGAGGCAAGAGAATCCCTTGAACCTGGGAGGCGGAGATTGCAGTGAGCTGAGATCGTGCCACTACACTCCAGACTGGGTGACAGAGGAAGACTCCATCTCAAAAACAAAACAACAAAAAACAGCATAAAAACTATTTACATAGCATTTACATTGTATTGGGTATTATAAGCAACCTAGATGTGATTTAAAGTATATAGGAGGATGTGCACAGGTTATATGCAAATACTATGCCATTTAATTTAAGAAACTTGAATATCCATGGATTTTGGTATCCACAAGGATTCTGGAAACACCTGTCTGAGGATAACAAGGGATGATTGTATATAGTATATAGTAATCCAAACTCTCCAAATAGTCACTATTACAGGATCACTCAACTTTAATTCAATAAATGCTTTTTTAAGACCCCACTATATACTGTCCACCTATTTGATGCACTTGAAATACAAGGATAGATAGGATAAAAATCCCTGCCCTCGGATAACTGGCAGTCTAATGGGAAAGCAAATAGTTACAAAACATATGGTAAGTGCAAATATGGGATGGGGTGGGGAGACTGTCAGAAGGTTTTACTAGGGTGGAAATGCCTGAGTTGCATTTTGAAGCACAATTGGCCTGTATCCTCAGCTTCTGCCCCATGTATTCAATCAGCTGGGGATTGAAAATATACAGAAAAAACAAACAGGAAAAAATAACGCTACAAGAGTAAAAAATAATACAAATGAAAAATACAGTAAAACAACTATTATATAGCATTTACATTATATTGGGTATGATAATCTAGAGATGAATTAAAGTCTGTGGGAGGATGCATGTAGGTTATAAACAAATACTATGCCATTTTATGTCAGAAACTTTAGCATCTGTGGGGTTTGGTATCCACAGGGCTCTTGAAACCAATCCCCATGCATACTGAAGCAAGACTATGTTAGTAAGAACTTGACAAACAAAAGATCGACAAGTTGGTGAAAAACCTGAGAATTTACTCAGTTCTAGAGACTACACAAAGCAGAGCACAGCACACATTGACACATTGGAGGGAGTGGTACAAGGTGAGATTTGAAATATGGTGGGATCAGATTGCTGACCTCCAGTCTAAAAGGTTTGTATTATCCCGGCCTGGCACGCTAGCTCACACCTGTAATCCCAGCACTTTGGGAGGCAGAGGTGGGTGTATCACCTGAGGTCAGGAGTTCGAG